GTAGAAAACAATTCTGTGCAGTTTCTGGTAGCCAAAACCCAAGATAAACACTGACTTTGTTTTGTATTTAAAAAGAAAATGCTCTTATGAATTTTGCCCTACTTTTAGAATCTAGACTGCCAGGTGACTGTTCTGAACAGAGCTTCTAACAGTAAGATGTAACGTGTTAATACCCTTAAGTTACCGCTCATGGACAAGAAAAAAACTAGCACATTTGGGTCCAATAAAGTCCTAGGTTAACCCTTCCCCTACTGCAAAATGATGTTTGTTCATTCCGTGTTGAGATTTGGCTTTGCATTCTGACCCCTAACTAGAAAAATGGTTTGTTGTCACTGGTCTGCTTCTGTTTTTCTTTTTTCCTTCCTAAAAAGACATCTTATTTTACAAGACTCTTAGTTGAATGTTTTAAGCTTATTTTTGATAACTACCAGACAACCGACAGCTCTCTAATATGGAGTTAGTTCAGGTTCCCAGGCAATTGCCAGTCATTAAGGATGAAAATTTAACTTCTCTCCAAACCATGAAGGGACAACTCCCTCGCTGACAAATGAGAGATTCTTCCTGGCCTTGCTGGTTAATTAAGCGAGAGAAAAGGCTGGATGACAGGGCATGCTTTGTTTCCCTCAACTTCTGAATGGCTTTGTGTTCCCAGAAGCCTCAACAGATGCTGGGTTGGAATTCAATCGGTCTCCTGGTGAGAATCAAGGAAACGGGGTTGATCCTGGTTTTGATGGGAACGGGACAAATGGAACAAAATCTCCGGCTGTGGCTACCCGAGGAAATCAGAGGGATTTGTATTTGCGTGACCTTCCTTTCGAACTTTATTTTGAGCAAATTCAGAACCTTTCTCATGGTAGAAGACGACAGTTCAGCAACAAAATAAGGGGCAGTCCCTTGCTGCGGCACCCAAACGAGGTAACAGAACACGAGAAACCTTTATAATCAATTCCATGTGTGGGAAGAAAAGGGCAGTGGCAGGAGAAGGAAGAACAAGAGGGAGCAGAAAGGAAAACGGCGCTGAGCACAGGCCAGACCACTGCAGACCCCCCTGCACATGATAACTCCCACACTGCTCTTTGTTTCCAAAGACGAAAGCAGCCCGAGGAACGCCTCCTAGGAGCTCCACCAAAGAAAAAGACCCTAATTTCTCACCAAGTTCCTAGAGATGCTCAGGCACCCAGTTTGCCAGCTGGGTGGGGCTGAGGAGGTGAGTCAGCAGAACTGGCAGGTCCCGGGCACGGATTACCTGGGCGAGCACCTCCCACTGTGGGCCACACCCCCTCCACTCAACCTGCAACAGGAGGATGACTGACTGCTTCTAAAGCCGCCTCTTTCTTTCCAGTATTTCCTCAGTGACAGGACAGGCTTGCTAAGGGTTTTACCAGATCACAGAGCCGTGGGAATACGAGCAGTTCCTGGGTCCCTCAGCTCAATTTTCCACCCACTAAGGAGGTTGTTCCTGACATGCAGATACCTGGTTTTCACAGAGGACTCAGTGCCTTTCAAAACTGTGGGGCTCTCTGAGGATTAGGATGAGGCCAGCAGCCTGGCTTGCTGTGGCTTTCACACAGGGGCTGGCCTGCTGCCCGACAGCTTTTCTTGTTAGACATACTGGAGATCTTCCACATCAGGGACCAGTGCTGGTGGCTAACAAGACTTTTATCTTTGGCTTATAAAGTTCTAGCTTTAGAGGGATTTGGATTAATAGTTGATTTTTTTAAAATTGGGAGATTTCACATTGAAATACAGATATCCAGCCTCTCTGGAAAATCTGAAGTCACGGTAACTCTGAGCACAGTCTCATCTGGCAACAAACTAGGAGGGCTGAGTAGAAGCCCCTTTAGATGGGGCCCACCCTTTTCTGTTTGCTACAGTCCCCACCACACCCTACTGACCCCTACGGACCTGGCCTACCGAACATTCATCAATCATTTATGTTGCTACTTGTTCCTAAAGTAACTTGGGTCTGTGACCCCAACTACATGGTGTTTGTGTTCATGTAAATCCATGTTTTTTTTCCTCTTCATGTTTATCATACAGATCTATGGCATCACTTTTTATGGCTGCATGCTATATTAATGGAAGAGCCCCCCTGGGCTGTCCACCGCTGAACTTATTATACATGAGGGAGAGATAAACTTCTATCTTGACTAAGTCTCTGTGGTTTTGGGGCTTTGTTTTTCACATCCAAAATGATTCTTATTAATATAGGGATGTTTACTAATTTCTTATTGAGTCATATTACTCTTTACATATTAACAACATTTATCTTTATCATATGTGTGTTATCCAATTGTTCATTTACCTTTATCTTTGTTTTTGCCAAAGAGGATTTATGTTTTCTTATTTGGACTTGATGCCACACTAAGAAGGACCTTCTCTTCTCCAAGATTATAAAGGTCACCTCCTTTGTTTTCTTGAAGTATTTCCAATGGTTGGCCCAGTGCCCCAAAATGGCTACTTAATGTTTCGCTCTCCATATGGTAGGGAGTATGACCTTCAAAACTTAAATTAGGCCAAGTCATTGCTGTATTTCAGGCCTGCAACAGTTCCCACACACTCAGTGAGACCCACAACCTGCTGCGGTGTCTGCCTCTCTCACCTTCCTCCCTCATTTACCACCTGCAAGCCACGTCGGCCTTCATTCTGTTCCACAAATAGGCTGAATTCGTTTTATTTCTTTGGCCTGCCTTGCTCCTCCTCTGCATGCAGGTTCACTGCAGATACTGCCTCTCAGGTAGGCCTGCCAACATGACTCCCTCTTCCAGCTCCTGCCACTCTCCATCACATTACTCTTACTATTCCGACACCGTACCAACTACAGGAAGGATTCCTGTTTTAAACTTAACAGACTGTGAATCCATGAAGACTAGTCCTGGCAACACTGCATAGCTATGAATGAAAGAATGATGACTATCATTTCTCCAGTGATTTGAAACGGAATTTTTAGCGCACATTAAACTCTTGTGGGACTGTTTCTGATCTCTATCTTATCCCCTTATCTATCTGCCTATTCTTGCATTAGTCTACATGATTTTGATTAGCACAGCTTCATAGCAAAAAATTACTCATTTTCAAAATTACAGGTAATTTTTCAAGAAAAAATAAATCTTACTGAATTTAAACAGGAATTGCAATGAACTTCTAGATTACTTTGGACAGAAGTTATCTCTTTGTAATGCCAACTCTCCCCGTTGAAGAGACTATTCAGGGCATCCTCACTTACCCGCAGCGAAAGCTGAGGAGCTGCTGGCCACACCCAGGCCCCCAGCAGGCTCTGGGCAGCTCCCTCACCAGCGCCAAGTCAGCAGGGTGTTCAGCCCCCGTCACGCTGAACTGCTTCTTGGTAGAACAAGTCTCCTCACATACTACATTGCTATCCTTACAGATCAACTTACAACTGACTGTACCAGTATCAAACTTACAAATTATTTTAAGAAAAACTGATGCTTTTTAATATTAAAACCTATTTAAAAACAAAACATACTTCTCCACATGTTCAAGTCTCTTCACATCCTTCAATATGGTTTTCTAGTTTTCTTCATATTAGTTAATGTCTAGGGTATTTCATCATTTACACTGCTACTGTGAATGGCATTCTGTATATTAACTTTGTATCTAGCCATCTTCCACTGCTTCTGATGGCTTTCCAGTTGATTATTTTGTCTTTTCTCAGGTTTAAAACAGTAGATTTGCCTTTCTTCTTTACATATAACAGTGCTCAGAACTGTCTACTGGATACACAGTGGGTGTCCAATGAATGTTAGTGATTATCTTCTCTCATATCTATACTTTTCATTTGATTCTCTCAGCTAATTGTATTGGCTAGCAGTTTCAGAACAAACAGTGGTGTCATCTTATGTTTGACTTTTGGGGAATGCTTCTATGTATTTCACTATTAAATACATTCTAATGACTGCTTTGAAATATAGGGCTTAAAAAAACACTAAGTAAGCATCCTTCTAATACTATTTTTAAAGCTTAAATCAAGAATGGATACAGCCATCCCTCGGTATCCATAGGAGATTGGTTCTAGGACCCCCATGGAGATCAAAATCAGTGGATACTCAAGTCCCTCATATAAAATGGTGAAGTATTTGCATAAAACCTATGCATATCCTCCCGTATACTTTAAATAATCTCTAGATTACTTACAATATCTAATATACTGTAAATGTTATGTAAGTAATTTCTGGTGTGTGGCAAATTCAAATTTTGCTTTTTGGAACTTTCTGGAAAAAATTTTTCTTAAATATATTTAAAAAATTATTTATTACTTATTTTGGGGGGAGGGAGGGAGAGGTAATCAGGTATGTTTGTTTATTTAATGGAGGTACTGGGGATTGAACCCAGGACCTTGTGCATGTTAGACATGCACTCTACCACTGAGCTACACCCCCCACTTTCCTAAGTATTTTTGATACATGGTTGGTTGGATCCATAGATGAGGAACCTGCAGATATGGACGGCCGACTGTACTCATCTTCTTGCTGTCTAAAGATAGCATATGGTAGATTATATTAAGCGTTCTTAATGCTGAATCACCCTTGCGTATCTGGAACAATCTCACTTGGTCATGGTTTCTATTTGCTGATGATTTATTTACAGGAGTTAAAACCTATATTCTAAGTGAGATAAATCTGTAGTTCTCTTTTTCAAGGTTACCTCTGTCAGGTTTTGGGATCAGTATTACACTACCTTCATACAAATACATGCAGAACATTCCTTACTCTTCTGTTGTCTGAAATATTTCAGATGGCATAGAAAAATTTTATTCCCTAAAGGATTTAAAGAATTTGCTCATAAACTGGGCATCTTGCTTTCTGGAGTAGCTTTCTGGTTACTTTCTCAATTTTTTTGGTGTGTGGTTATCGGTCTATGTAGTTGCCTATCTTTTCAACAGTCAGAATGTGTTATGTATGCATAAAATATCTTTTCATTATGCTACCTTATCGATATTTTTCCCCTGTAAAGCAACAGGCAACCATGTGTTCACTTACAGTGGGGTCGGTCCAGAGAGAGCACCTTGAACACTCCTGGCAAGGGGCTCCCGGTGAGCGAGGATGCTGGCAGAAATGGTCATATCCATTGATAGACACTCGGCAGAGGTAGCACATTTGGGCACCGCAGCGGCAAGACATGCGGTTGCAGCCTTCTGATTTGATGAGGCCGGTCCCACACTTGTGGCATTTCCTAATACGGGCGGCAGTCATTTTTTCTTCGCTAAAAAAAGAAAACATGATTGGAGACAGCAGGGAAGATGAAGAGAGAAAAATATGGCTGTTAAAGTGTTTATTTCTTTCCACAGATAATGATTGCCTAGCTCTCCCGGTGACATCTGAAGAGTAAAAAGAGCCTATGTTTTGCAGTCTGAGAACTGGGTTCAGTTTATCAGTTGTATGACCTTGGGTAAATTACTTTACTGCCTGGAGACTCAAGTTTCCTCATTTTTGTGTGTGTGTGTGTGTGTTGGTTTTTTTGGGGGGGGGTGTATGTATGTATGTATGTATGTATTTGTAGAGGAGGTACTGGGGATTGAACCCAGGACCTCGTGTATGCTAAGCATAAGCTCTACCAACTGAGCTATACCCACCCTCTTCCTCATTTTTAATTTGGGAGAACCCAACTTTCCCACAGTGTTCTGAGGATTACAGATAAGACATAAAGCACCCTGCGGCACAGTGCCTGCCACCTAGCGTTTATAAAATTATTATTCTGTTTGTTGTAAGAATCCCTGTAGGTTTAAAAATGGAGAGAAAAAAACTCAGGGTCTTCCTAAATAATGTTTTCTATATATACAAAGCTGGATAAAGGAGAGCCAGTAAACCTTAGTTATCTACACACCTTAGATTTTTAAATACTAGACATAGGGGTGGGGTAAACACAGTTGGGGATGATCCAAAAGCCACTCTATGACTTCTTCCCCTTGGCAGAACCCATCTCCTATGACAGAAGCTGGCATGTTGGAACCTTACATTCCTAGACTCTCTTGCAGCTAGAAGATGGGCAGGCGCACGACGCAATCTTGGCCAAAGGGAAGCCTGTAGGAAGGCTACTTGTTTCCAGAAGCGCTTTAACTGACATGGGGGACACATATCTAGAGTCAAAATGACAGGCCGTGGCTCTTCTTCAAGAGCTGGCACTGCTGAACTGGTTACTTCTTCTAAAAAACACTGCCACCTTTGCCTGTAATTGCTTATGTGTCTGTCCTCCACTGCTGAGCTGAGTTCCTTGAACGCAGAGGGCAGAGACTGTGCTGCCTGTAGCCAGCCGGCATGAAGAAGTACGGTCTTGATGGGAAGGAGTCAAAAGATATCCCTGCGGAGACTAAGAAGAGCATGAAGGACCCCAAGCGTGGGCAGCCATGAAGGTAGGACTCACCCCGCTGCTCGAGCACCTCTCCTCTCAAAGTAGGAACCCAGCGTTGTGACCAGGAAACTGCTTCAACATAAAGACTGTAAACGTCTGGGGATGAGTTCTAATTTGCACTCTTTCTCCTAAAGCTGAGAAAATGCAGCCTTCTTCCTTCCACTGCTTCCAGTTTTTCTGCTATTAAGTAAGAGTAGCCAGGTGAGTCTAGGGGCAGGCAAGGGTTTTTAATTACTGATATATATTTTTAAAATTATTTTTTGGGGGGTGATTACGTTTTTATTTATTTATTTATTATTTTATAATGGAGATACTGGAGATTGAACCCAGGACCTCGTGCATGCTAAGCAGGCACTTTACCACTGAGCCATACACTCGAACCTAATTGCTGGCATTTATAAGACTGTTGTAGTATGCTCCCCAGAAGCTAGATTATGTGTCTAAAAATAGAAAAATGCAATAGGAAATTGGCTGCTCTTCATTTAGGTCTAATTTTTGAATGGCCCCAAATGAAGGAACTCTGGCTGGAAAAGAATGTAAACCCAGTTCAAATTATAGAAGAACAAATGAGTTCCAAGTTTTCCTGAACAGGAATCACTGTCAAGAGGACAAAGTTTAAATAACTTTATTATTGTCAACATATCGTACCCATGTTCATGACTTAGTTAGCTCAGCAACTGTAAAGACATTTCTCAATTCTCCATGTTAAGACTCAACAGGTTCTAATGAAAAAGTCTCCAATCTGAAAACCTGTGACCAAAACACAACAGCAATTTTCTATAGCACAAACTTTCAGTGTAAGAGAGCCCTGGAGACTGGGGTGTGGCTTTAAGCCACTGCACTCTGGTTACCCGGGGCTGGCTGACTTCCCCGGGTAGCTGCTTAGGCTGTAGTGTGGGAGAGGAGTGGCTAAAAAGAACCAAGGTTACATGGTCTTTCACAGGAAGAGGGTGCACTTGCTTGCTCTGTTCCACCAAGCTGTCAGTCACCAATAATACAGGGTGTGGTGGAGGAGAAAAGGCACTTCTAAATGGATGGAGGATATAAAGAACACATACAACTCAACGCTGTTAGAACGTTCAAACAGAACGTTCAAATATTCAATACTGAAAGAATTCAAGTCCTTCGCTTTTGCAAAAGAAGAGTTCCAGGTAGGGCCGGAATGGCCCCGAACCAAAAAAGGATTGCTATTATGGGATCACCTATCCAGTAACATGAAAGCACAAAATGGGACTGGGGGAAAACAGCAGTTGATTTTTTGGGGGAGGAGAGTGATTCGGCAAGTAGATTCTAAACTAGGCAGGAAACAAACAGCCCTACAGGATGCGTTCGAGGGCAGGACAGGAAGAGAAGCCTGAGCTGCAGCTGTGCATGCTGACCTTGTGTTCAAACAGGAAGGCTCACTGCCCTCCTCTGCATAATCAATCAAGACCCTATGCTTCCTTAAGCATTTGTTCTCACCACTATTTAAGTGTGCTAGGAACTTCTTTGGGGAGCTGTCTTTACTTCTTGTGGCATATACTATTCAAAATCTTAAATGGTTTTCCTTTGTGAGCATGTTTACACATTTTTGGTGATAACATGCACATAAAATTTACCATTTTAAACATTTTAAAGTATACAACTCAGGGGCACTTAGTATATTCCCAGGGTTGTGCACCCATCACCATTATCTAGCTCCAGAACACCTGCACCATCCCTGAAGGAAACGCTACCTATTAAGCAGTCACTCTCCCCAGTCCCCTTTCCCCTGCAACTGCTAATCTGCTTTCTGTCTCTAATGGATTTGTCTTTTCTGTACATAAGCAAATCCATATGCCTATGGATAGTTTATATAAATGGAATCATATAAGATGTGGCCTTTTGAGACCGGCTTCTTTCACTGAGCATGTTCTGAAGGTTCATCCATGTTGCAGACGTGTCTTCATTCCCTTTCTCTGGCTGAATAACATTCCCTCTATGGATACACTGCACGTCACCACTCATCAGATGGTGGATACCTAGGTTGCTTCTACCTTCTGGCTACTACAATC